CCAATAGCACCTTTGGTTCTGAGATCTCTTAATAGAAAAGTTTTTCTTTTTTCCATTTTTTAATTTTTAAGTTTTAATTGTTTTATGTTAGTTTCAGGTATATGGTACAATGGCTAGATATTTATATAATTTATGGAGTGACACTGCTGATTATTCGATTACCCCTCTGGCTCCACAGAGAGTCATTACAATATGGACTAGATTCCCTATGCTGTACTCTACATCCCCGTGATTATTTTGTGACTACGAATTTGTACTCCTTCATCCCCTCACCTTTTCCACCCAGTGCCCCCGTACCCCCTTCCCTCTGACAATCAGCAGTTCATTCTCTGTATCTGTGAGTCTTGGTTTTGTTTGTTCATTTCTTTTGTTCCTTAGATTCCGCATATGAGATCACATGGTATTTGTCTCTGTCTGTCTGACTTATTTCACTCAGCACAATACCCTGAAGGTCCATGTCATTCCACATGGTAAAAGTTCATTTTTTTAAACAGCTGAGTGATATTCCATTGTGGATATGTACCATAACTTCTTTATCCAATCGTCTCTGGCCAGGCCCTCAGGCCTGGTTATTGTAAATAGCACTGCGTGAACATAGGGGTGCAGAGATCTGTAGGAACTAGTGTTTTGGTTTTCTTGGGATAAATACTCACAAGTGCAATTGCTGGGTCAAAACTTAGATCCATTTTTAATTTTTTGATGAGCCTCCAAACTGTTTTTCCAGAGTGGCCATACCAATTTGCAATCCCACCAACAGCGTATTAGGGTTCCCTTTTCTCCACAGCCTTGCCAATACTTGTTTTTTGATTTATTGATGATAGGCATTCCGACAGGTATGAGGTGATATCTCATTGTGATTTTAATTTGCGTTTCTCTGATGATTATGCGATCTTGTGAATTTTTTCATATGTCTATTGGCCTTTGAAAAACAGCTTTTCCTCCCCCCCTCATCCTAACTTTTTTTTTTGACATTGAATTGCTGAGATCTGACCTATAGAATGTCTTCTTGGTTTGTCTTTTTGACCGATGGGGTCATTTATCTTAACTTCTGTACCCTGATTGCCCTTCAAGGCAGAAGTGATTTCCATAGACCTGATTGAAATCACGTTAGTTTTCTGATCCAGGAACCACGATTTTGCCACCTCGAAGCTGCCTTTTTGGGATACTGATTTTAAGCTGGTTATTAAGAAACAAAACACTCAGAATCTTTGACACACACTCCCTTTTCAGCCAGAAAAACCTGCTCTAGGAATGAAATCTTAAGATGTTCTTAGCCTAATTTGAATTAAGTGTGGTAAAGAGGAGGCTCCGGGCAGAGGCCTGTTAGCCGGATGCCCCGCGTCCCGCTGTTCCTGAGTTGTCTAGCAAAGTTCGTCTGCCTCGTGCTCAGCTCTTCCTCAACTACCTGTGAATCTCCCAGTCTCGCTTCTGGAATCTTCCCGCCCTTCTCCTTTGTCCCCAAATGTCATATATAACCCACGTTCCCTCACTGTCTTTGGAATTTTCATGCTTCATGTGAATTTCCCATGCACATGCATTAAAAATTTGATTTTCTCCTGTTAAATCTGTCTCTGTGAATTTGATTATTAGCCTGGATAGAAGAACTTAGAAGGTGGGAGGAAAAGTATCTTTTTTTTTTAGCCCCCCACAGTACACGCTGTTACACTGTATCAGGGCACATGATGCCAGGCTCGCCCAATATTGAAGTGACAGATCCCTCACTGGTTTGGGGTGATTAGTTTCATAGTAAAATAGGGTTTTTCCTCCTGTGGCCAGCAAGTAATATATAGGGTGATCCTCTGAGATTAAAAAAATCAATGGAGTCATTTAAATCTCATCTCTTATTAAAAATATGGACTCTAGTGCTTAAATAGGAAAAGGATCAGTTGTAATTGGAGTTAAGGCACTGGTTTGAGATAAACTTATGTGAGGATGTTAATTTAACAAACGAACAAACAAACAAAAATCCCAAGCACATATTTTGTACCAGGCACACTGTTCTATGCTCTGGGAACTGTAGCAGCGGAGAACAGTGAACAAAACAAGATTTTTATCTGCATGGAGCTTATCTTTTATTGGGGAGACAAACAAAGCAAGCGAAACACGTGGTGTGTCAGATGGTGCTCAGTGCTATAAAGACCGGGAAAGCCGTAAAGCGCGGGGAAGGAGGGGATGTTTTAAACGATGTGATCATGAATGGCTTTACCACTAAAGTAATGACTGGGGGGGAAACTGAGAACATGAAGTGTCAAATCGAAGGAAAGGCTGAAGGGTGTGGGAGGGGGTGCGGAGGAAAAACAGAGAAGATTCGGGACAGGAAAGGAGGTGACAGTTCCTGTGTGACCTTGGAGGCCACGATATATGACCTAACACAGTGGGTCTGCCGCTTGGGGTGTCTGAGCCAAGGGAACACAGTCTTGGAGGAAGGAAATGTTTAGTTTTGCTTGTGACAAGTAAAGGAGGCAGGGGCATAATTATCAAAGCTCTTGGAGGGGAGGCTTAGCCATTACTGACAGAAAGTATTTGGTTAATTAATTACATGTCTGTTTCTTCTTGGCAGTTGGATAAACTTACCCACTTGGGTTCTGGTCGGGCTCATCCAGTTGCAGCTGCGACTGCAAAACACTGTGCTACATTTTAACATTTAGCAGAAATAGCATCTAGTAAGAACTGCCCAGACCTTGAGACCCTTGTCCTAACAAAAGTGACACTGACTTTTACTCTGAATGAGGAGGGAGCCATCCGAGGGTTTTGAGCAGAGGGCGGATGTGATCTGATTTATATTTTTGCATGATCTATCTGGATGTCTGGTGACTGGACTGTGATGGGGCCAGGGTAGGAGCAAGGTCAGTTCAGAGGCTACTACAATAATGCGGGTGAGAGACGACAGGGTCCTGGACCAGTGTGTTAGTGTCGGAGACTGTGAAAAGCAGCTGGAATCCATTTGTCTTTTGAAGGCGGGTTGTTAGTTCTTTTCTGAGCTAGTGAATGTAGGATGTAAAAGAAAAAATTCATGCATGATGCGAGTGATTTTAGCCACAGCGTCTGGGATGGAGATGCCCGTTTCTAAAATGGAGGAAAATATGGAAAGAACAAGGTTTGGGGAGAATCACAGGCTTAGCTTCGGACGTGCAGAATTTGAGATCCCTGTGATATATCTACGAGGAAGATGCGAAATATGAGGCTGCAGTTTAGGGAAGAGTCTGGGCTGGAAACGCAGTTGGGAGCTGTCGGAACATAACTGCTCTCAGAGTAAGGAAGCCACAAGATCAGATGACATCTCCTAAAAGAGGTTTGATGACAAAGAAGCAGTTTCGAGAGCTGAGCCCCCGGATGGGATAAACAAGGAATGTTCGCTCTGTTCTCAGGACACGGAGATTTACAGCTTAGAGCTTTCTCCTGCAATCCTCAAACAAGTGGCATAAACATTATCCTGGTTTTACAGATGTGGAAAAATGCTCTCAATAATGAGAGTATGCAATAAAATCGGACCTTTCACGCAAACAATCTGTTGACGTTAGAGCCATGGAGAGATCACTTTGGGGACAGATGCAGACATCCTGCCCCCAAGGCACCCACCCTCCCCAACATTTTGCACAAGGTCCCAGGGAGTTCTCAGGCTTCCCGAAGCCTCTCTGTGGAACCCGCTGCCTCTCCTCCTCTTCTCTTGGCTTCTCTGGCTTCTGATCTGAGAAGATGGACCTTGAGAACACACACCGCTGTCCAATTCTGTCGAACTGGCGTTTCTTTGCTGCTGTGCAAACAGCACTTACGCAGTGAAGAAATCGTCAGCCCAGAGATTTCAATTGGCCCTTATGATTTGCTCTGGTCAACAAACGTGGATGAAAATGGCAAGTGCCACCCCTGAGCAGAACCGAGAGCCTTTGCGTGGTCTCTGTCTATCCCTCAGGATGGTTCTAGGATGAAGACAGGTGCGACTGGGGCAGTGCCTGACCCACGGAGAGAGCCGGATCCGAGCCGGACCTGTGGCCGAAGCGCTGGGAAAGCCATGCTTGACTGTGTTATAATCTGCCACGGGCAGAGAAGCGAAACCCATCAACAGACAGCTGCTTGTGGTTTAGCATAGGTAACCGGGTACGGATAGGCCTTGGGAAATTATTGCTGCCAGCAAGTCTCAAGTCCTGAAAAGAAGACTCCCACCCCCTCCTTGACCTTCAAAAGTATGTAACAAACACACCGAGCTTGCCCCGGGGCCTCTGTACCTCAGCAGAGCGCAGTGTCCCACCTGGCCCCGGCTTTTGTACACACGTCTCTGTGTTTTTCTCCACCCTTTCTTCACCCCCCCTCCCCTCAGGTATATTAACCCTCTAGGCGGCAGGTCGCGGCAGACCCACAGTCAGTAAACAGGATGGGCAACACATAAACCGTTATTGTAGTAAATCACTGGGATTTGGGGATTATCACAGCACCACTAACCTAAATATATTGACAGGATCTTAGAGTGCATCTAGTCTCTGGGGATTGCTTTATTTGGGGAACATTAAGTTGCCATCTTGTCACATGTGGCTAAAGCTCACTTGTTTTCACAGACGTGTTAGGTTCTGTGATTGTGCCTGTTCATGTCACAATTCATCTATCTATTCTCCGTGCTTGATGTTTGCTTTGTTGGTGGCCTTTAGAAAATCTGTAGGATGCTTTGCGGGAATGTAAAAATGTCAGTATGACTTTCACTGTGTGGATTACTTCGTAATAATTCTTTTGATCGTATTAATAAGTATGTGGACTCCTTAGACTAGAGATGCTTAAAACATGTGAAAACGAGGAGATACAATTTTAAGGGAAAGTCATGAAATCTGCGTTGACCCCGCCTCCTCCGATCAGCTGAGCGGACTCAGAGACACTTTTCCATTTTGAAATGAAGGGATTGGAACAAATCAGTGGTTCCCAAATGTTCCTCCACGGATAGTGTCAGTCTGTGTTACGTTTTTCTCCATTCCGTGTAAAAATGAGAAAAATAAGGTCAGCGTGGTAAATTTCTCTTAATATTAAAAGTTTGGTATAAATTTATTTCGAGTTAATCCCTAGTCCCTTTGAAGTGATACGAGGGTAGTTCTCTTACGAAATAAGGTTGACAGCAGCCTTCTGAGTGGCCGGCAGCCGTGCAGTCCTTCGGGCAGCTTCGGCTTTTCCACTTGGGGGAGGATTGTGGATGGTAATTTCTTGATTTCCTTGGAGCTTTATAAGTGTGGCTGCTTTTCTGAAGCTGACTCTTCATTTTGGCCGGACTCTACAGTGAGGTCAGGCAGAGGCAGCAGGAATAAGGGTCACTGCAGCCTCCGGGGACGGGCTTTTCCCAGAGTCCCTCCTCCACAGCCCGGCACACCTGACTGGTAAGTGACATGCCCCGGTCCTAGTGCAGCATGAGCGGTTCCCAGGGCAGGGGAGTCTCCCAGACACTGGCATGTCCTTGACACAGTTCAGGGGGATAGATAGCCCTAGCGAGTGTTCTGGGCCATTGGAGGGCTTGGCCTTGTCGTTCATACCAGAGAGGGAACTTCGATTGGTGCCAGTTGTTAGTAGGCTTTTTGGCCCTCTGCCTTGGCGAAGGCCTCAGGACTCAGATGCCACCATGGGCGGGCCCAAGGACACCTTCCCTGACACTTCAACCTTAGCCTTTGGCACAGCTAATACTTCGGAGGACTTTCTGCATGCAGACACCACCCTAAGTGCTTTCGTCATCTGCGTTATTTTATTGTCCACCCCAGTAGCCATGTGCTCCTTACTGGCTGTTACTCCGTCGGCAGAGGTAAGGGAGTGCTCACACAGTGTCTGAGTTACTCGCCCAGCCTCAGCCTGTGTCCTGCCCCGGAGGAATGCCCCCTTCAACCATGCTTTTGTTTCCTTTTATGAATACATTGTTTAAAAAATGTATATGACATCCGTGTTGGAGAGCAAGACATAATCACATGCTCGGTCGCGTGTGGGCTTCGGGAAAACGCCTTCGCACACCCTTGCAGAATGGAGCCCCCCGTTCCGCCTTCACGAGAATCTGCTACATAGGCACTTGCAGAGGAAAGACGAGCCGCAGGTCGTCTAAGCCCGGGTCGTCTAAGCCTCATGCCGCACGGCTCAGAGAAGATAAACGTGCTGCAGGGGATCCTGACACTCCAGACCTCACCACGAACCTGTGCGTCTCTCTCCGTGTACATGGCGACAGAGAGAGAATTTCAGGGCCTCCGCCTGGTATAAGGACTTTGCTGAGCTTCGAAGAACACGTGTATCTCTGGCCAGTTTTACTCTTCTCTTATTCTAACGTTCCATTTTCCCCTTTGCGCCTGTTTTCCATCCTTAACATTGCAACTAGCCTCTTCCTTGAAAAAACAGAAGGCTAGTGAGGACTGCGGGAACAGTCCTTAGAACGAGACGGATGGGGATCCAGATGTTGCATTTATTTATGTGCGGAAGGGGCCACTCAGCCTTCACCCCCGTCGTTCAGCTGTAAGCAAGAGTCCCTCACAGGTGAAAGTGGCATCAAACCAATGACAGGCGAAGGAGCACAGATATCACATTCTTCTCACCAAAAGCCCCAGAAAATGAAGAACTATGGGTAAGGTCATCGTGGGGGACTCAGGGAGCCCTGGGGGATTAAGAGGGAGAGATCTGAAGAGTGGGCAGAGCCATCATCACTACAACCTGGGGGGAATCGCGGGTCCTGGGAAAATTTACATAACAATGGAGACTCTCCAGCTCCCTCGGGCCTCAGGCTACCCTGCTGCCTGGTGTTTTACACCCTTGGATATAAAGCCTTATCAGAAATGACTGGCTGAAACAGAGTTCCTGACCTTGAAGAGATAGTATTTAGCCAAGAGCAACAACCCAAGAAAATATTAGGAACCCTGCGTGGATGTTCGTGGCTTTCATGAGAAAATGAAACCGAAAACGAGCCATTTTCAAAGGCTCCACACAGTTCTAGATAAGGTCAAACCAGGACCCAGGCTGCCCTTTCTTTACTAGTTCCGAGAAGCCAAATAAGATGATCCTGCTGCGGACTTAGTCCTTGCTGAGCTGTACAAACTACACGGGGATGAAACACGTGCGCGTTCACTTATTACTCTGGGGACCCCTACACTTTCTCCAAGTATGGTGACTTACAGGTCTTTGAGACAAAGTGAGTGGCTCTGAAAAGAGCCTTTTGAGTTAAGAGGTGCTAGCAGATGGACTCACTTGGAGCTGGTGTACTTGGTGACGGCCTTGGTGCCCTCGGACACGGCGTGCTTGGCCAGCTCCCCGGGCAGCAGCAGGCGTACGGCCGTCTGGATCTCCCGCGACGTGATGGTCGAGCGCTTGTTGTAATGCGCCAGGCGCGACGCCTCGCCCGCGATGCGCTCGAAGATGTCGTTGACGAACGAGTTCATGATGCCCATGGCCTTGGACGAGATGCCGGTGTCGGGGTGCACCTGCTTCAGCACCTTGTACACGTACACCGAGTAGCTCTCCTTGCGGCTGCGCTTGCGCTTCTTGCCGTCCTTCTTCTGCGCCTTGGTCACCGCCTTCTTGGAGCCCTTCTTCGGGGCGGGCGCCGACTTGGCGGGCTCGGGCATGGTCGGGAGGAGCCGCCGGAGGACACGGGACACCACAGCGAGGACGAGCGAGACGGACAGTGCGGGCCCTCTGGGTTCGCAGCCTCTTAGAGGACGCGCTGAATAAGCTCGCGTCCGATTGGTGGTGAATCCTGGAAACGTCACCTGTCGACGTCGTCCAGTCAGTGAGGCGTTTTTCAAACGCAGGAGTCCATTGGCTTAAGTGGAAGCGCTTGAACTCTTCGCCAATGGCGCGGATTCACTTTCGCGCCCAGCACCCACTATAAAGGGCGCCGCTCTGGGCGCCGGCGTCAGACCTCACTCGGGCGAGCGGTTCCCTCTATCATGTCCGGACGCGGGAAGCAGGGCGGCAAGGCGCGCGCCAAGGCCAAGACGCGCTCGTCGCGGGCCGGGCTGCAGTTCCCCGTGGGCCGCGTGCACCGCCTGCTGCGCAAGGGCAACTACGCCGAGCGGGTGGGCGCCGGCGCGCCCGTGTACCTGGCGGCCGTGCTGGAGTACCTGACGGCCGAGATCCTGGAGCTGGCGGGCAACGCGGCGCGCGACACCAAGAAGACGCGCATCATCCCGCGCCACCTGCAGCTGGCCATCCGCAACGACGAGGAGCTCAACAAGCTGCTGGGCAAGGTCACGATCGCGCAGGGCGGCGTGCTGCCCAACATCCAGGCCGTGCTGCTGCCCAAGAAGACCGAGAGCCACCACAAGGCCAAGGGCAAGTGATCTGACA